GCATCCCTCCCAGCAGACCAGGGACACCCCGAGCAGACCAGGGACACCCGGAGCAAAGCCGCGTAAGTCGGATCCGCGTAACTCGGGGACTGCCTGTAGTGACTCATCTACCCAAAAAGCCTATGTTTATTGGATGGTCAACTAGTCATTTACATCCCTACTTGAGTTTCCCCAGGGGAGTGCAATAGGACAGTACCTGTAAGAAACTTATGTTACTTTCACCCCAGTCCAATGTAAAAGAGTGTATTCCTTGCCATATACGTGTTCAGAATGTAGTAAGTACATTTATGGTGAGGAAGGCTACGACACTTTTAGTTTACTGCCATAAGCCTATTTGAGGATTCAGAACATGAGGAAATATCTTTCTAAAACCTAGTGCAGAAAGATTCTGCCTGCAGGGTGCATAGCTGGCAACTGAAGCTTATCATTTAGGGTAAGCTGGGTCACTTCTCACTAGTGTCCTGGCAGGAATGACAGGGACTTGCTGCATAATTTTAAATTGAGGATTGTATGTGTATGATTCCAGAATTGTGTTACATTCTCAGTTTCTTCCATTTTTCTTCTTCTCAGTTAACTGCTCATAAATTGTTATCCGTAGCCTGTAAGAATAATCCTTACAATTTCCTCCTGTATGAGTGTGCCTCCTGGCTTAAGTGTGTAACTGAACTTGAGTGATGAAACAGGAGCACTTCCTGTTGTTCCATTAAGTTGCTGGCTGTTCTAACAACCTTATTGCTGTTTCCCAATAGAGCTGCTGAATGATGGAACTGTGGGCATTTTCCGTGGTAACCAAATGCGCTTGAAACAAGCTTGCATCCGGAAAGCAAAAATATCTGCATTATCGTTCAAAAAAGCATTCTGCCATCATAAGCTAGTAGAACTTGATGCTACAGGGATGAATGCAGACATTTCTATTGCGGATATTGTAAGCGGACTTGGTAGCAATAAGTGGATCCAGCAAAATCTTCAGTGCCTCATACTGGACTCCTTAAGACTCTCCCTGACAAATCCCTATGAAAGGTGCTTCAGTCGATTGTCTGGTCTTCGTGCTTTGAGCATTACCAATGTTCGCTTCCACAATGAGGACTTAGTGGAGATTGCTTCACTTCCAAGGCTGGAAAGTTTGGATATATCTAACACCTCTGTCACGGACATAACACCGCTTCTCACTTGCAAGGATCGGCTTAAGTCTCTCTCTATGCACTATTTGAAGTGTTTAACGATGACAACGCCCCAAGTCTTGGATGTCATAAGAGAACTAAAGTATTTGAACCACCTTGATATTTCGGATGATCAGCAATTTACATCTGACATACCAGTCTCTTTATTAAAGCAGAAAGACATCCTACCTCACCTACTGTCTTTGGACATTTCTGGCAGTAAATACATAACTGATGAAGCTGTAGAAGCATTTGTCAAACAGCGACCTGCAATGCAGTTTGTGGGACTACTTGCTACTGATGCTGGTTACTCTGAATTCCTTTCAGGAGAAGGAAACTTAAAGGTTTGAGTTAAAAAAAAAAAAAAAATTTACACCTTTGCACACAAAAGGAAGCATGATCTACAGTGTTGAACATAGGAAGGAGAGCAAGGAACTCTGAATCCTAATACTAGTGGGGCAAAGACTGAGTTCAGTAGTAGGAGGAGCAAAGATACGTTATTTTGCTCTTCTTTTTCCTACTTTTCTGTGACTAATCTTGTTCCCTTTAAAAAAAAAAAGGTCAAAACAGTTTGTGCGGTTAACAGTTGAGTTTTCTGAATATTGGAGGTGGGAAAAAATTAATTTAGTGAAGAAGACAAGAAGCTGTAGACCAGGGGTGGGCGCCAAGCGGGTTGATCCGGCCCGCGGAGGTCTTACCGTTCCCCCGCCCCCAGGCCAACTATGGCCTGGAGGCAAGGGAGCGTGCAAAGCTTCTTCCTGCCCTGCCAGGAGCACTCAGCGCTTTGAAGAGCACTCAGCACTTTGCAGGGTGGGAGGAGACATCACGCGCTGCCCCGCCCACAAGCCCTGATTGGCCATGGGGCAGGGAAGCTGCGTGAAGTTTCCTCCGCCCTCCCTCCGGCCTGTGAGGAGCATGTGGCACTTCAAAGTACTGTACGCTTGCACAGGGTGGGGATAGGGTGAAGGCCCTGATTGGCCTGGGGGTAGGGAGAGCATCCGAAGCCTCCTCCCGCCCTGCCAGGAGTGCGGAAGTGCCGTGTGCTCCTGGGGGGTGAGTGGTAGGGCGAGAGGAAGCTTTGCGCGCTCCCCCAACCCCTAAGCCCTGATTGGCCTGGGGGTGGAGGAGCGTGCAAAGGCTCTTCCTGCTCTTCCAGGGGCATGGGTGCTTAGTGGGAAGGGGGGAAATGGGCTCCCCCACCCACATTCTGACCCCGCCCCTTCAAGTTTAGGCCCCGCCCTTTCTGGGGTAGCCCAGGGCCACTTCAAAAATTGTGGCCCCCAGCCAAAAATTGTGGCCCACCCCTGCTGTGGACTAACATTACTAGTGTTTGTCCAGTTCTGTTCTACCACCAGAATGATAAATGAGCAAAAAATTGAATTGAGACAGACAATTGAGTTGAAGTGGGATCAGTTTTGTTTAGGGGTCTTGCATAAATGCATTTATCACTTATATGGAGCATGAACAAACTGCTGTGTTGAATCTGAACTATTTCACTGGTTCTGGGCAGAGCTCAGGTTTAAAATCTTTGAACAGGACATGCAATCACAATGCAAAGAATTTAACTAGAGGATTTTCTACCTATATTCTTAATTACACATGAGTTGTAGCTAGTTGACAGCTTGCTCATTGTGATATCTAAAACCCTTCAAAATGATAAGTCAAATTTATTTGCACAATTTTGAAAGATCCAATTTGGAAAATTTCACGTTGCCTTTGACAATTAGATTTCAGTGTATTAACTGTGTTGTGCCCTCAGGTATCAGGAGGAGCAAATGAGATTCAGATTTCTGAAGCTCTGAAGCGTTACAGTGAACGGTCATACTTTGTGAAAGAGGCTTTCTTTCGTCTCTTCACCCAGACATGTTTTATGAGAATAACTAAGCCTGAAATCTTAAAGGTAAACCAGAATTGTTGGTGAGATTAAATATCAACATATTTGTTGTATCTAGGTATGTGTGTATAAAAATCTGTAATTTTTCAGGTGTGCATCCCAAATGTTTCTCCTTTCACTTGAGTTAGCTAGTATGCTGAGGGTTCATTTCAGAAGTATACTTGCAGAAGTAGTCCAGGTGCTATAAACTCTGTTCCTGTTGACCATAACTGTCACAGCAGTTAACAAAGAGGTGGATTTGGAGTGAATTCATACCGTCCCTTTCAGAACTTTAGAAATTAGGACCAGTATCCTTAAATGGATTTGGATTTAAATGGGGAGTCATTTTCTTTGCTTCCTTCATTTAGGGTTGCAGCATGATGGAACTGGCTGTAGATTTTGCAGTCAGTTCTAGGTAGAACATGTTGACTTGTCTAGCCTGCTAGCTGTGAAAGTTATAGGTGGCACTGACTAGGTTTACATCTGGTGCACTTTTGTGGTTAATCAAAGATTGACAGGAGACATTCCTAACCATCTCTTAGATTTCCTGGAGAAGCAGTAAAGGACTGTCTTCTTGCCATCCCCGGTACTCATTCTCTATTGGCTTTAGGCAGTCAGATGCCATCCGGTGCAGTTATATATTCTGCCTCTTCCCCAAGGGTGTTCCTCTGGTAACAATAATATCAGCTCCATCTTCCCCTCCCTGCCACTGTGCTTTTAGCTACTGTGGATAATAGGACATATAATGGAATGGAAGAAAAACTCTCACCCTTTTCTAGCTGGCATGATTGCAAAATAAAATTGATGATCACTATTACAATCATACTGTGCTGCTAAGAGGGTGCACCGCAGGGTAAACTTGTTACTTTTGGTTAATAAACATTTAAAAGATTCATTAGTCATAATGAGAAGAGCATCATAACTTGTACACTGTATTATTGTGACTGTCTTAGAAAACAAGAAATATGATTTTATAATATGAACATAACTTTTATATTTCAGCTTGTGATTATTGGCATGAGAAATCACCCCTTGGACTTGGCAGTTCAGCTAACTGCTAGTGCATGTTCTCTTAACTTAACTAGACAGGGTCTAGCAGCTGGTATGCCTGTTCGTCTGCTGTCCGATGTGATCCATTTACTACTCAAGGCTGTGGAAAACTTTCCTGATCAGCAACAGGTAAAAGGGGCATGGAGCACAATTTTAATTCACTTCTAATAAAGAGGACTGTAATATAAAGATAGAACAAGTATGTTTCTGCTCTGTCAAGGCTTCATCAGTATTGATGTACTGATGCTTTGTTCATATCAAATAAAATACTATGAACTGAAGAAAAGGCCTGTTTTGAACTGTTAACCAAGGAATTCTTTTCCCAAGAATTCAGCCACACAGATAATACTAAGCAGTTTTATTAGCAATGCATTGTGGAGGGCTCAACAGCAGCTTCCAGAGAATTAGCAGCAGTACAAGTCTAATATATCAGTTACATACATCATACATACCATTATACTAGCTACAACTAGCTTATTGGTGGTTCTTAAAGAAGGAACGGATCTTTTCACATGGATAGGGGGCCAGGGTAAGGGGGGTGAAATAAGGAAAGACAGAGCAGAGACAACAAGTTTTAACAAAACAGCTTCTTTAAATCTGTGGGAATCCAGGAGGGGGTTAATAAACTCAGCAAAAGTTTCAACAAAGATTTGAAACAAAGTTTCAACAAAAATTATTTCCTATAATATAAGAACTAGGGGCCACCAAATGAAATTAATGGGCAGCAGGTTTAAAACAAACAAAAGGAAGTTCTTCTTCAGATCGCGCATAGTCAATCTGTGGAACTCCTTGTCTGAGGAGGCTGTGAAGGCTAGGACTATAACAGGGTTTAAAAGAGAACTAGACATAAATTCATGGAGGTTAAGTCCATAAATGGCTATTAGCCAGTATGGGAAGGAATGGTGTCCCCAGCCTCTGTTTGTCAGAGGTTGGAGATGGCTGGCAGGAGAGAGATCGCTTGACCATTACCTGTTCGATTCACTCCCTCTGGGGCACCTGGCATTGGCCACTGTCAGCAGACAGGATACTGGGCTGGATGGACCTTTGGTCTGACCCAGTCTGGCCGTTCTTATGTAAAGCTCAAGGTCTTGTGTTGCAGCTGGGCTGTTATCTTAGTCAGGCAATTTACTTTGGAGCCCAGAACAGGAAAACAAGGCTTTGTCCTAACAGTACAGTCTGTGGGTGTCCCCTATTCTCTCTCTCCTGTTTTGCATCAATAAAGACCCACACTAAGGTTGGTGAGTGATGCTCTCTACTCTCTTGGGGTATGTCTACACTACAGCACTAATTCGAACTAACTTAATTCGAATTAGTTAATTCGAACTAAGCTAATTCAAACTAGTGCATCTAGACCTAAAAACTAGTTCGAATTAGCATTTTGCTAATTCGAACTAGCATGTCCACACTGAGTGGACCCTGAACCGAGGTTAAGGATGGCCGGAAGCAGTGCCGGCAGGGCATCAGATTAGGACTTAGAGCGTGGAGCTGCTGTCTCAGGCTAGCCGAGGGCTGTGCTTAAAGGGACCCAACCCCCACCCCGGACAGACAGTTCTCAGGGGTTCCCCGCTTGCAAAGCAGTCCTGGCTTGGAGTGCCCTGAGTGCCCACA